ACCCGCCACTTATGGTTCTGGACTTCTTTGAATGGGTTGGACAGCCCATGGATGTGAAAGAGTTTGAGGGGTTGGACAGCCCAGATGTAAGGAAGGAAGGCAGTTTGGGGGGTCACAGAAGCAACAGCCAGCAAGGACGAGATGATCGGGTGGAACAAAGGCATGAAGGAGTGACTTTGAGGAGGGGACCCCGGATGAGGAATGGACTTGATGCAGAAGGGTTGAACAGCCCATGGATTGTTTTTGTTACAGAATGGATTGTGGGTGTAGAGGACCGAGGCCGAGCCACGCATAGGAGCCGACGAGCTGAAGGACCCTGTAAGGAGAAGAACAATATGGCGAAGGAATGAAGACACAGAAGGGTTGGACAGCCAAAGGGTTGGAAGGGCTGGACAGCCCGTGTAACGAGAAGAACAATCGCTAAGGAACCCATGAAGATCAGAAATACTTTCAGTTTCGGTGAATGGACTGGATTGAATGGGTTGGACAGCCCAAGGATATAGGCTTAGACTTCTTTTTGTTCTTGGATTGTTTTTGTTACAGAATGGTTGGACAGCCCATCAGGATGTTTTTTGCTGTCACGAGAAAAAAATCAGGCACGGTGATGCCGCACCGCACACCGAGACTGATTCGCTGCTGACGGTGAGTATGAGGAGTATGACCTCGAAACTACCGGTGAACCACAGCCAGCTGGTGCCTTGGATGTTTAATCGGCATGAAAGTCTAGAATACTTTTGTTTCCGAATGCATATTAAATAGTGGTTTCTTTTATAGCTAAAGTCCAAGCCTCACTGAGGTGTTGTTTACAATTCCAAAATGTATTGTCACGGAAAAGCTTTTGGCTGATCTGTGGGACGCCATCGTGGACAGTTTCAAACGGATGGCAAAGCATAGAACTGGGATGGTCTTTGCAATCATCGGTGACCTGGACTGGTTTTATTCTGAGTTTGCTTTCCCGCGACACAACCAGCAGCATCCCTGCCCGTGGTGCTGGTGCAACCAGATGCTATGTGTGCATTCGCATGTTTTGTTATGCTATTTCCCACGTATATGTATATTTATATGTATATGTATATGTCTTTGTATATGTATATGTAAATGTATATGTATCTGTTTATGCATGTACATGTATAAACAGATATGCATATGTGTGTGTGTATGAGACAAGTATATGTGCTATGAAGCGAAGGACAGATGTACCATGGAACGACCTGAGAGCAAGTGCTGCTTGGAGAACGCAAGTGAAGACAGCAGAGGACTTTTGCAACGAGTTCGGCGGCCACAAGCTCTTCGCCATCCCTGGCCTCAACCCACTTGCAATTGCTTTGGACACTCTGCACACATGGGATCTGGGCATAAGCTGCCACCTCCTCGGATCGTTTTTGTGGGACTTGGTTGAGGATACAGGCCATGGAAACAGGGACGACCGCTGGAAAGAGATTTATGAGGAAATACAGTCCATTTATGAAGGATTGCATGTGGCTGCCAGCCAGAGAATCGGAAGATTGAAATGGAGGGACGTGGCGAAGTCCAACCAAGTATTTCCGGTTCTCAAACATGTGAAAGGACGCCGAGTTAGGCACTTCGTGCCGGTTGCTCTGTCGCTTGCAGAACGGTACAAGGAAACCTGCCTGAGATATTATGTCATGCTGTAGTTGGTTGTTTTCACAGATGCTGCTACAGGATCCTTTTTTTTGGACCTTATCCGAGGACGAGGACCCAAAATCCCAGCATCGCTTCTTGGCCATTGAAGCTTTGGCGAAGATGTATGCACCTTGGATGTCTAGAATAATTGCCGAAGAGTTTGTTTCAAGTGTAGAGTTTCGCGAACTATAGGTTTAAGAAGACTGTATGTATCAGGATTTGGTGGACCAGCCGGATGTGAGATGGAAGAAGGAGGACCAAATCGCATTCAGCAAGTCCGTGGAGAAATGTCTGAAACACTACCAATGGCTTGGAAACATTGCTTTGAGAAAAAGCTCTTGAGATATTCTATGGTCCAGAAGTTCCACCTCACTGCCCACATGCCCTCCACGGCCATGTTTATGAACCCGCGGTTGTAGCTTGGACCGCATTTCAGATTTTCCCTGTCCATAACACGTCTACGGGATTTGCAAGCACGCCTTCATGAGGACGTGGTGCTACGGTGCCGAGAGCTTCATGGGAACTATGGTTCATTTGGCCGGCAGCTGTGTGCATAGCACCGCCGCTGTCAAGCTTCCCGCTGCCATGATGGCCAAGTATAGGTTCCTGTGGGATCTTTTGCTCAGGAGGGTTGTGGACTTGGACTTGGATGACTGATCGAAGGCAAAATGTTATGCATGGGTTGGATAGCCCTACAGCACCGTTCATGTCTGTGGAATGATATAGGCCCGGGTTGGAGAGCCCGGTAGCTGCATGAACATGAAGATGTTTTTTTTGGCAGTTCGAGCTGTGGAACCCAAGGCTTAAGTAGCTAGTGCAAGCAATGGCCCTTCAGAAGAAGCCCGCCATAAAGGCGGGGTAGCAAACTTTTATGTAGATTACATCGTTTTTTTGCGCCACTGCCAGGACCAGAAGGTGAAGCGAAAGCCTGCACTGAAGAAGCCGGCCCAAAGCCACGAGAAGATCCCCAAGGTGGACGTGTTTCTTCTCGCGGGTGAAGTCATGCAATGAATACACTACTTAGGCAAATAAGGATATCAATAAACGTTTTTAGTGCAATTTTTGGCCGCATCGAGGAGCAGATGGATGCCAGAGAAGAAGCCCTTTCGAAGAAGAAGGACCCAGATGCTGATGGAGAGGAGCCGAACCTGAGCCAAGCCTCGACACTGGTACTTCCAGGAGTTCCGGGAGCTGTGCTGCCAGAATACCCGCAGAAGGATGATGAGAAACCGTTGCTAGAAGAGCCTGAGCCGGAGCCTGTGAAAGAAGCCTTCAAAGAAGAGGACAAGAAGGACAAGGAGCCAGAAAAGCTCAGGAGGCTCACAGTGTCTTTGGAGTTCGAGGTCTAGGACTGTCTTTGGAGAGCTCGAACTGGGAAGCTCGAAAAAAAGGAGCAAATGCCCAAGGAGTTGGAAACATGGGTTGGGAAGCCCAGCAGGACGACAGATAGGGCCACGAGGGCAAAGCACTCATGGTCATTGCATGGGTTGGAAAGCCCAGTTAGCCACGCAAACCTTTATGGTGTTTTTATGTGCTAGCTATTTTTGCTCAACTACATGTGCTTTAAGTTCGAGCTAGGACTTTGAGCCAGCGGAGCCGCATGGATTCAGAGGCAGAATTGTCTGCTCGCTTTGCTGCTCTGGAATCTTTCTTCCAAAGTGTCATTGACGCTCGTTGTTCTGTTTTGGAGCAGCGACTAGCTGCAGTGGAGATCACGAACCAGGACGATCGTTGTTCTGTTTTGGAGCAGCGACTAGCTGCAGTGGAGATCACGAACCAGGCTGTGCTGAATTCTTTGCGGCACGTGTCTGGCGAGGTCGAAAACCTCGAGAATCGTTTTGCGGTTTTTGAGTTTGCCAACGGCCCCGTTAGTGAGGACGACTTTGCTGCTTTCAGGCAGGAACTTCACGAGGCCCTGAATCAGCTTCGTCAGCAGGTGGACCGTGCTGTGTCTGCTGTGCAAGCACAGCATTCGTCTGCCAGGGGAGAGTCCGATTGAGTTCAGCTCGAACTGGGAAAGCTGAAAAAAAGGAGCAAATGCCCAAGGGGTTGGAAACATGGGTTGGGAAGCCCAGCAGGACGACAGATAGGGCCACGAGGGCAAAGCACTCATGGTCATTGCATGGGTTGGAAAGCCCAGTTAGCCACGCAAACCTTTATGGTGTTTTTATGTGCTAGCTATTTTTGCTCAAGCTCGCCCATCATGGAAGATGAAATCATTCTGCAAAAACTTCGGGCCAGTGGAGCACCAACCCGCTTGGCCAAGCAGCTGTTGACCATCTGGTGTCGGAGTTTCATGGAGCAGTGTGAGGAGGAGACCCTTCTGGACCACGTTGAATGCCGGGGGTACCGCTTGGAGCTGGAGCTTGAGGAGCTGCAATCAGAACAGGCCGTTCGGAGCAGGCAGCTGGAGCTTATGTGGATCCGTCGTGTTTTAAAGTCATAGACAGCTGTCATAGACACGATGGACTAATTAACAGATCGATGGGGATCGCCTTGTGAGGGGATTAAAAAGCGCATGCAAGGATCTGGAAGTCTAGTGCTGTTACTCAAGTGTGTATGGGTTGGGAAGCCCGGCCCAGGAATTAAAGATATATGTATATGTATGCATGTGTGTGTGTGTGTGTGTGTGTGTGTGTGTGTGTGTATTTGCATGTCATACGAAATGATTCGTTTCACAACTGCATGCCAAGAATTGGCTGCATATGGGTTGGAAAGCCCAAACCAAAAGGGTTGGACAGCCCCTGCAACTATGGATTTTCTATTGATTTTACTGTGGATTTTCTATTGATTTTACTCTGGATTTTCTATTGATTTTATTCTGGATTCTCTATTGATTTTACTGTGCATTCTCTATTGATTTTATGCATGCTCTCTCGATTGATTTTATGGGATCGGTTTTGTGATATCCTCGATTGATTTTGACTCTACTCTTCTATTGAATTTCATGCAAAAGTTCTCTATTGAAAAAATCCAGAAACGCTTGATTTTACATAAATTTCAAAACCCTATTGATTTTTTGAAAAAATTCAATATCGGATGCTCTGGGTTAGGGTGATCGGGGCCCGGGAGGTCTATAAGCTTCTCGGGGGAAGGGGCTGGGACGCCACAGATGACGATGAGAGCGATGCACGTCTTGCCCTGCATGCCCCACCCTACGCCCTGGCAGCTTTCGCTGCTGAGTTTGTAGGCTCCCTCCCCCCTGACGCGTCGACCGACCGCAGCCGTTTCGGCTCTCAGGGGGGGGTGCGCTCCCCACCCACCGAAGGCTCCCGTGGGAGGACGACGCAGAGGCCCTGGTACGCCTGTGGCTTGGAGGAAAACTCGAGGGTAGGTCCACGACCCGCTGCTCCGGTATGGGCGGCAAAGGCAACCAGAAGGGAAAGGGAGCCCACAAGGGGCGCAGGGACCAGGAGAAGCTGGAGCGTCTCCGTGGCTCGTTTCGAGCCCGGAGTGACGCTGACCGGCGAAGACTGGTCAAGATCCTCAGACACGAGGCTGCCCTCCTGGGTCTTCCGATCCGCGAAGACGGATGGGTCTCGTTGAAGGACCTCAACGAATGCGTCGGAACCATATCCGGCGAAGATGCCGCCCGAATCATTGGGCGAGACGAGAAAGATAGGCTAATTCTTTCTCAAGAGGGTGAAGAAGTGTGGGTGGCGGCCGTGTCAGGTCACACCATAGCGGGGGTTGTGGGGCCTGGCCGAGAGCTGCCCCTACAGGAGGTTCCAGAGGTGCTTGTGCACGGCTCCTACGCGCGGATTGCACGCGCGTAGAGCGATCCACCTCCTCTCCTGTGGGTCCAAACACGGTAGGTGGAGATCGGACATCGAAACCTCCGTGTTTGTTCTCGCCAGAGAAGCCGCTCGGTACGCCCAGGTTCGGTTCCTTCTTACTACGAATGACATTTACCTGGCGCCGGACGGAATACCCCCCGAGTATATCTCGCAGATCGAATCCTGGCGGAAAGGACCGGTTCCCTTCCCACCGCGGGCAGCGGGGTCTTCCTTGTGGCGTTTCGCTCCCGGAACGGCTGCCGGCTCGCGCCGGGAAGGAGCTGCGAAAACCGCGGCCGAAAAAGCCCAACAAAGGGCTGAGGCTGTGGCCGAGCACAAAGAGGCCGCACGCTTTACCGAGAGGCAAGAGGCCAGGCGTAAGTTGGCGTCGGCCGCGCCCCGGGGCACAGTGGGCGTGGAGTTGCAGAGAGCTCTGGACTCCGACTGTGAGTCCTGCTCGGACCGCAGGGAGCAGTCCACCCTGAGCGCAGCAGCGTACGCCACGCAGCGCCTGCGAGCCATGGAGGCGCGACCTCCACCAGAACCCGTCGTTCTTAGGCCACGCCACCAACCCGGCACCCCGGCACGAGGCAGTGAACAAGGAGCTCTGGGGTCAACCGACAATACGGTAGAGACCTCAGAACGCCTCGAGCCGGAGCTGGGGGACGAGGAAATGGAGCTGATAGAGGTCGCCGAGCAGAGGAACTCAGACCAGTACCCTTGAGAGGGCAGCCCCAAGGGCGATGAGCCGATGTCTTCCGTGGAGCGTTCCGCTCCCGGAATAGCAGAGGCCACGCTCGAGGGCGATGAACCGATGCCTTCCGTGGAGCGTTCCGCTCCCGGAATAGAGGAGGTAGAGCCTGCGGTCGGTCCAGGTCCGAGCGCCCCAGAGGCAACCGCCCCGGAAGCAGCACTGAAGGAAGAGCAAGCTGCGCCAGGGGAGAGCCCGCCGAGGCGCGTTTCGCGCCCGGCGAAGGCGAAACCCAGGCAATCTGGGGAAGGTTGAAGAAGGAGGTCCTTTGCAGCCTCCTGGGGGAGGTAGCCCTAGCAGAGCCGGAAGCCATCGCGCTGAAGGTCGACCCGGACACGTTGACGGCAGAAATCGGCAAGATGTCGCTGGAAGATGAAGACCCGGATTGGTCTGGCGACGAAGCCGAAATTCCGGTAGCTACCGCCTTGCCGGGCGAGGCTGCGTCCAGCTCCACCAAACAAGAGGAGGGCAGGGGAACTAAGAAGGAACTCGAGCTCGACGAGACGGAGGAACCCCCACGCCGCCGCAAAGTGGTGTTGGCTACTGGCCAGTTGTCGCTTCTCCGGGCCCTGGCCGCTGCCAACGCGTCCAACTGGTCCGGGGTTCAGCGTGCTCTCAAAGAAGCCCAGGGGTCGGGCGAGGAAAAGAGCGAGCTTGTGGAGAACCTCACGTCCCTTGCGCAAGCGTTCTCCAAGAACCGCGACGTCTGCGCGCAGGCGGCAACCTCAGGGCAGCCGCTCTCGCAGAGCTCGAGGGCGCAGAAGCCGCCTACCTCGCGGCGCTCCCCCCGGCCTTGGCAGAACTGGAACGCAAAAACCCAGTGAGGCCCAGTATGGATAAAAGCCTCGGGTGGATCAACCACGCACGCTTCCTGCAGGACAAGGAAGCCGCCGGAGTGTGGGTGGCACGCAGAAAGGAGAAATCCCGCCTGCGAGCTGCTGCACACCGAGCGGCTCAGCAGACTGCCGAAGGCGTCGGTGCAGGGGTGCAAGACCCGGTCCGCGACCAGGCGGACGCAGCCAGCCACCTCAACTTTCAAATGAATGAGGCGGCAAGGGACAACCTGCGGCGCTTCCAGGCAGAGCTGCGAGCTGGGGAGCTAGACGCCCCGATGCGAGCCGCGGTAGCTCAGAAGCGCAAGCCTGAGTCCGAGCGCAGGCGACGCATCAAATGGGCCAGGTTTTGCGAAAAGCAAGGGAAAACCAGGAAGTACGACCCCACGGAAAGCGAGCAGAACCACCCCTACGCTCACTCGGGTTCACCCCACCTCGGGAAGGCCATGCCGTGGCCCGCTTCGGGCCCGGCAGGTGCCTTACGGCTGGAGAACCGGGGGATTCCCAGCACTATGGGGGATGGTCGCAGCCAGCGAGTGCACTGCCGAGACCCACCGGTCCTCCTCTCAGAACTAAGGCACCGTGGCCTGCTTCAGGCCCGGGCATGGCCGGAGGAGGAATCGGACTGGGGCTTGGGATGATGCTAGGTTGGATGCTCGACAGAGGGCGTCAGAACCGGAGAGGAAGAGCCGGTGGCCCCACATTCACCCAGCCAGCCGCAGTAAAGCTCCCCCTCCCACTCGACCGTGGTTAGCTCGACCCTTGCCGCGCGACGAAACCAGTCGGAGAGTTGTCACGCGAGCTCTCTGGCTGACCACCGTCGCTCTGCTTCCCATCGTTGTAAATGCTGCCGAAGGGGACATTGTGGAAGAAGGGGACGTCTGGGAGCTATGGTCGTACAGGCTCCTGACTACTGGCTGCCTCTATCTTACCTGGCGCACCACCTTAGGCTGGGGCGTCGAGAAGAAAGAGGTCGCCTGCCAAACCACCCAAGGACACCCGCCGGCGGCCGACCACGTCCGCGTTACGCCCGCCGGTGAATGCTTCCATGCGGAGCATTGCGGACACTTGAGGGCGAGGAAGAGCCGGGCGTACCGACCCTGTCTGGATTGCTCCCCGCTTGAGCCCCGGGTTACCCGCCTGCCAACGCCGGGGAGCACACCCGCGGCCAGACGCCAGGGGTCCAACTATGCAGGGTTCCTTCGGGTGATCCTTGGTAGCCTCGCCGCCCTCGCTTTGCTCGTACTACAGGGGTGCGACCGACCAGCTGAGGAAACCGGTCGACTTGGCAACCTTGCGGGACCACCACTGTTGGGAGTTTCTGCTCTTGTTGCGTTGCTCATCACCTGGCCGGGTCCGCCGTGGCGCGCTCCGCGCCCGGCGTCCCGAAGGGTGGGGGAAGGAACGCGCAAGGTCAGGTTTGCGGTACGAGAGACACGCCGGGAAACCCGGGGAGAACTCTTGCCCGCTCAGACCTCAAGCTTAACGACCCGACACCATCGGCGTCGGGGCAGCCACCCCCTCGTGGCCCCGAGCGGGAATTCCCCCGCAGAAACGAAGCGGAAATTCTCAGAAGAAGGGCCGGAACCAGGGGTAGTCCCCGCTCGTCGCTGGGCGCAAGAAAGACTGCAGTTGGTGAAGGACCACCTTTCACCATCCACCCAGCGGTTGTATGACGGCCATTGGCGCTGGTGGGAGCTATACACTAGACGTCGGGGCGTTTCAGCACTCCGCTCCGTGGATCGTTTCGATCCCGGAGAAGAGTCCTTGTTCCTCGACTATCTGGTGTACCTATTTGTGGGCCAAGGGCTAGCAGCAGCCACAGCACAAGCCCGCCTGGGAGCGATTCGAAGCGTACACCTACAGCTCGGTTTCCCAGACCCGCTGAAGCCGCTTCCTCGTTTGCAACTTGCACTCGAGGGAATCAGAAGGAGAAAGGGACCCATCGCCAAGCGACGTCCGGTTACTCCGCACATGTTAGCAAGGGCCCAAGCGGCGTTGCCACAGGGGCTGTGGGGAAGGCAGCTCAACTGTGCATTGCAACTCGGTTTCTTTTTTCTCTTGCGAGTTTCGGAACTGGTCGGCGGCAATAACCCAAAGCTTGGGCTCCGTGTCAAAGATGTCAAGCTGTATAGCCGTGGCGAGTTCCTCGCCCGGCCGCCCTTCAGCGGGGCAGATGAGGTGCAGATCGTTGTGAGAGCCTCAAAGACGGATCCCGAAGGGGAATCCGCCACGAGGAACTTATTTCGCAGCGATGCGGCCGTCTGCCCTGTATTGGCGACCATAGAGTTTCTGGAACTCAAATGGTCAGAAGCCACACCGCATCCGGAGGAAAGATTCTTCGGAGATCTTACAAGGCAGGACATCCAGACGGCACTGCAAACTGTCGCTGCCTCCTTAGGAGAGGAGGTACAGGCATACACCCCCCACTCTCTCAGATTTGGGGGAGCTTCTGCAATGTGGGCAGGGGGGATGGACTCTTATGTCCTCCGAACCTGGGGCCGGTGGAACTCGGACGCATTTTTAGCCTACCTTTGGACGTCTAGGAAGGCGTCCGCCAACACCGCTGCCTGCATGGCCCGCGCAGACATGACGCCGGTCAAAGGGTTCCCAAATAAGTGAACCGCCATCCCCCTTTTGTGTGGCCCTTGTCGTGTCGCGCTTCGCGACCGACAACCCCTTTGTGTGGAGGGGCACACACTCCTTTTTGGTACAAAGGGGGGAAGGTTGCACAAACGTGCAAAAGACCAAGGACTTCGTGCTTCGCGCGCAAAAAGAGTTCTGAGCCGAAGTGAGTGTGAAACGTGGTAGCTTAGCGCTGCGTGCGTAGTGTTTCACCTCCGTAGGCTCTCGGCTCAAGGGTGACCCGCCCACCCACCCCCTGCACAAACGTGCAAAAGACCAAGGACTTCGTGCTTCGCGCGCAAAAAGAGTTCTGAGCCGAAGTGAGTGTGAAACGTGGTAGCTTAGCGCTGCGTGCGTAGTGTTTCACCTCCGTAGGCTCTCGGCTCAAGGGTGACCCGCCCACCCACCCCCTGCACAAACGTGCAAAAGACCAAGGACTTCGTGCTTCGCGCGCAAAAAGAGTTCTGAGCCGAAGTGAGTGTGAAACGTGGTAGCTTAGCGCTGCGTGCGTAGTGTTTCACCTCCGTAGGCTCTCGGCTCAAGGGTGACCCGCCCACCCACCCCCTGCACAAACGTGCAAAAGACCAAGGACTTCGTGCTTCGCGCGCAAAAAGAGTTCTGAGCCGAAGTGAGTGTGAAACCTACTATCTATAGGGTGCTATATTAGGGTCCCCTTGTTTCGGAAACTTCCATGAGGACTTGCGGTTTATCTTGTAGGGATCTAGTAAGTGGTCAATAAGCGGAGTTCTACCCGGGATATCTCCCTGCTTGGGCTGCCTAAGACCTGATTCGTGACTTGCCTGCTCAGGCTCAACCCCCACGGGTCGGTACAAGGACTGGCTCGGGCTAAACCCTAAACCCCAAACACAAAACCTTAAACCCCAAACCGCAAACCCTAAACCCCAAATCCTAAAGCCTTAACGCTAAATCCCTAAACCCTAAACCCTACTTGGGCTTACGGGTCTGTTCGGGGGTTTAGAGTCTGGTCTGGCGAGACCCGACGAGACGCCGAAAGAGAGCCAAGCAAGTATCCGGAAGCCCCAGAAACCTGAACCTAGGACTCTGGAGACCGGAACAGCCACTGATGTGGGGGCCGGGATGATCGGAATAGGATTTAGGAGTATATTATACTATGATTATAGTAAGCAGCCCCCAAAACCCTCTTCTAGATATAAAGGCCCCTACATTATATCCTTTTAATATCCCTTCTAATAACCCTTATAGACCTCTTTAAAAGCAACCCTATTCTGATTTGTTTAGGCCCCTACGGTGTGACCGCGACTTCGGTCTCCAGCCACTTCCGGAAAGGCCCCGACACTACTGAAAAGCTGTATGGGAGTTTCCGAACATCAGGGGTACCTTATTGGGGTCCTTATAACAAGGATCCTACTATTTAGGGTACTATATTAGGGTCCCCTATATTCCAAAACTCCTGTAAGGGTGGTTGTCAAAATAGGGAACCCTAATGTAGTACCTAAGATCGTAGGATCCTTATTATAAGGACCCCCAGAAGAAGGTACCCCTAATTTTCGGAAACTCCCATATGGGTGGTTCTCAAAATAGGGGTCCCTTTTTGGGCACCCGAAATAATAGGTGCCGCATTATAATAAGGACCCAATAAGGGACCCATAATTTTGATAACCACCCATATGACACAAAAATTATAATACGCAGCCCGCAGAACCCACCCATTAATGGGTCTCCTTAATACTACCCTGGAAGAAGAGCCCCTAGTCAGAACAGGGTTTAGGGGTACTAACGGTATCTTATGCTATAGTCATAATAACCCAGACCGCCGAGAGGATCTAGAAAGTAGATCCCCTAATTTGGGGCTCTATACTACTAAGGGTACTTTATAGGAACCCCCATCAAGGGATCTACTTTTTGGATCCTTCCGGGGGTCTGCGTATAGTCTCCATTGTAGTTCCTTCTTTCTGGTTTTACCACTATAATGGTTCTGATTTTAAGGCCCAAAAATTTAAAGTTCCCCCGTTCACTATCTGACAATAAGGAATTCCCGAAAACCCGAAGGCCTCCTCAGGGCTGGCAGCTGGGCTCGCAGGGGCCAAGGAGGCGGCGTCGCCTGGGATCGGAAGTGTTGAGCCGGCTTCTCGTCTATGTTATTACCTATAAATTACAGTAATACTAATGATATTAATATAATATTACAATAGTATATATATATATATATATTTATATGTATACGTATATACATACATATATAACTATAGATACTTATATACATATATACATACATAATATCTAGGAAACCGTAAGAAATAAGTTTGACAATGCTCGAGGCCGCAATATCATATCTCGATTGCCAAGAGAACTCTTTGTGTTTCTCGGGCTCTCTGCATGACGTGCATATCGAGAATCAGGACATGGAATGATCGCACAATCGGGAACCCTAGTGCATTCCCCAGATAGTAAGATTCGTTCTGGTACTTCCTTAGGGAGGGAGAGCAACTTTGCACAAGCCTGTATATGAAGTCATCTGCAAAGCCACACTCGACGTCCGTCAGGCATATACTACATAGAAAGTCTTGCCAAGGTTGCCTGAACGAGTTGGAGCCCTCATCCGCTTTACAGCCACGGACAGTCACAAGTCTACTTGTACCTGAAACCACCAAAACACACTAACGAACTCTTGCAGAGACAACCCAAACAGACATTAATTGATATGGCGGCCTTGATAATTAGAATAGGGTGTGTGGGGACCATTATACTTTTCTTACAAAAAGGAACCCCAAAAATTGAAAAGGTAATTAATCAGGCCCCAATACTAAATCCTTATTACTGGCTTTTATAGTTTCCTTTATAAGCCCCTTGAAAGGAACCCTAATAGCAACTGTTAAAAAGGAAACTGAGCCACCCCCAAGAGCTCCCTACAGTTGATGATACAAATCGCGCATTACTTTAATGTTCCAAGACTATGGGAAATATGGTATATTGCGGAGTAAGGGTAATGTAGGATTTATATCATCAACCGTGGAACCCTTAACCCTAGAGCTGTTTAAGACAAGATCCCTCGATCATAGAATCCAGAAGCCTTGTTACCTACTAGAGGGCCCTTGATAATAAGAATAGGGTTTTGGGGTATATTAGACCAAAAATATAACAAGGAATCTCCGCAAATAGTATTGGTAATTATTTAGGCCCCTATATTAACTCGCCGAAACTCTAAAGGATCAGGGGACTTAGTAGTAAGTAGTGATATAAGTAACATGACTATAGTTATATGTACTTAGGACCCTACTTGCTAAGTCCCATGATCCTCCAAGTATATCCTGCGAGCCTTCCAGCAGCGCCGGGTCAGTGGCCATGTAGCCGGGAGCCGATTGCAAAACAATCTTCCCGCAGTAGGCCGCATATGCAGTACACCTTGGTGAGGGCTTGTTCATTAGATTTATCCTGGGGTTCTAGTTCTTTCTGGTGCCTGCTTTTCGCTCAGGAACTTAATTCTTGATTTTGGGGCGTCAGGGAGTTTGAAAGGACTTTCTGGGGGTATTCGTACAGACACGAAACTTGCAATCTATATGAACGTCTTCTGGTCGGCGTTATCTTGCAAGAGCGATGTAGAACGATGTAGCAGCAACCGAAGGGTTCAGGTGTTTGTGGTGTTCAAGTGCGGTGCGTATGGGTGTTTGGGATTTTAGTGTACAGTGTGTCTGGATTCTGGTTCAACAGTGCTTCAGGTCTATGGGTAGGATGGAGGACGAAATTAAGGGCTTGAGGCTCGGGGCTCTTGGTTTACAGGCTTACCTTGCTCAAGTGATATCTACTTCTCCCGAGCACATCTTTCCGAAAAAGACATTATCTAGGATACCCAGTAACCTAAGAATAAAGGTATTGGGTAACTTTACAAGGAGCCTAGGACTACAAAAAGGGAATAAGGGTACTACTGGGCATCCTAGTTATTACTTGGGCCATCGGCGTCTAATCAGCAAGCTGCAAACCGTGTTCAAGCGGCTTCAAGTACCGGGTGCAGCAGGCCCACACATAGAGGCTACACAGATGCCACCCGAAACTCCTAACTAGCAAAGAAAAGCATGCTGCTAGAACGACGAGCCGAAGTGCCCGTAGCTGACGCAGGTGTCCTGTATGAGGTACCGCATGGTTCGTGTTTTCTCAATCCTCGACTCAATTCTTTATGTAACGGTGGTTTGAGTGATTGATCGAATTCCCGAGCGGTTCTGTCCATATGTATATATAAATATATACTTATACACATGGACTTGTATATTGTGGCATTGGCTGTATTTACATATGGTCTCTGCACCTTTGCCTGGTCGATTGAAGATGTCTCGGCTTGGAGATGATGCGTGCTTTCTACACTTAACCTTTCAGCATGCAGTTTCATGGTCTAGAGGCTGGGGGCCGGTGGTCTCGCCTTTGCAAACTGAGGTTCCTACCAAGTTCCACGGGGAGTAGTTTGGCCGAATCTTATGTTAAGAACTAGTCACTAGCATAGGGGCCTTAATAATTAGAATAGGCTTCGGGGGCCCATTATACTATATTTATAGTAAGGGACTTATATAATCATAATAAGGGACTTATTTCAGCGGCTTTTGGGAGACTTCCAGCTTGGGCTGTCCTGGCAGCGTGCGGTGTCTGCACACTGCGGCAGCACCTGGGCGGCTCTGACGGCACGCTTGCAGATTGCAACGTCTAGTTCGTCCGTAAGCCGCCGAAGCCCTTCCATTGCTTGCCCTTTCAGCCCTACTTGTCGGGTATCATGGGGAACTAAAAGTTAATCTTTTTGTTTGTATAGGGATTATATAGGGACTATACTACCCAAAACAGGTTAAAGGCTGCCTACTGTACTACTAGGCAGCACTTTGTAACTAATCCCCTACACATGAAACCCTCAAGCTGCCCCACTGCAACCCGGAACCCTCTTTCTAGTTTCGCTCGAGAGAAACCCCAGGCACCTCCTTGACAAAGGCGTTCATGCATGGGATGAGCATGCAACGCTGGCCTTGCGCCTGACCCAG